CGCGTTTTGATAGGCGGTGTAGTGGCAGCCTGAAAGAGAAAGGCCATGGCGGCACGATGATGCTGATGAACTCACAAGGATAGGGGTGCGTCGCGATCAGGCAAGGTGGTTGCGGTGCGATTCTGGATTTGTGTTTCTTTGTAGGTTGAATCGCGATTGTTGGGTTTATTGCAGGTCTGGTTTTGATGCAGGTTCTGATGCGGTGATAGAGGAGGTGCGAAGAAGATGGAACTCGCGAGAAGTTCACGACTTGCGGTTGAGAGGCGCGATTGGGTTCCGAGAAAGATGGTGGAAAATGAGAGTTTCGCGAGAGATTGGGTTTTACTGTGTGGTTTTTCTGAGTGCAGGTGGTGGCCGTTTTGGAGTTCGGTGATGGCGGCGCGACTTTGGGATTTGCAGTGGTGCTGTAGTGAAGATGATGGATGGTTCGAGATTGGAGAACCCGTGAGGAAGATGACTGTGGCCGTGGAAGAAGGTCGCGAGAAGCGTGGTGTCGCGGCGGTCATGGAGAACTCGCGGCTGGTCTTAATGGTGATGAGCGTGAATCGTGGTGGCGGCGTTGTGATAGCCGGTGCTAAGTGTGGCAACCTCGCGGCAGCTGGGGGCACGATAGTGACGGCGGCTAGGGTTAGGTTAGATTAGGGTTTATGTTTCTGAAGGTTGAAGAAGATAGTAATGTGGAAGAAGTTGACTGATCTATTTGGTGTGCAATAGGATCAGTGACGTGGCATTATCTAGGTGGTTGGATCTATTATTGGTGGATTGCCACGTGGCAGAATCTGGCATAGTCTGATTTAGGAGGGGTAGAAATAGGAAAATTTAGGGGTTGTAGGAGAAAAGGCTTAGTGTATGGGCTTTGTTGTTGGCCTGTTTCAGAAATAAGAGTGTATGTAGACATTTTAGGAGGTGCAAGGGTAAAGACTGTCTGTTTGGCCCATCTGTACATTATTTATCAAATAAAATATGATTTTGGCCTTAATTTGCAATTTGGACTAATAAAGCTTTAATTTCAGCTACACAAATAAACATTAGAACATCCAAGAATAATTTATGCACTAAAACTCACTTTTTACGTCTCTTTAATTCCCAAACCCAATAATTCCAATTGTTAGAGATCCACTTTAAATCAACCATTTAAGCGCAAATATTCCGTCAAAAATTTGAATTTTAAAACATAAATGTGGGCATAAATATGCACTCATCATATGGAAATAGTTTTTTTAATGAAAATGTTTATTTAACAACCAAATGGTGCCAACTTTTTTACAACGCTACATGGTGAATGTCAATTGTAGCATTTTAAATGAAGCTTTTCCAATGTCTAATGTAATGTTGAGGTTATTTTAGGAAGGCAAAGAGAGAATGACCCAATTCCTTTTCATGGTTTTCCTTTTCTTTTTCCGTTCGTGGTTTCCTTTCTCCTCTTCCCTTCTCCTTTTCTTCTCTCTCACGAACCGCCGCCCTCTCCAATGCTCTTCCTCTCTCGTGTGAATCTCTCTCACACTCTTTCCACCAAAGCGCATCCACCATTTCTCTTCCTTTATCACCCGAACCACCGCCCTCTCCACCACTGCTCTTCCTCTCTCACGCAAATCTCTCTCATACTCTCTCTACCGAAGCGCACAATGTCTCTTTGTGTCACTCTTCCTATGTCGCAAGATTTTCCCCTTTGTTGTGCTCTCAAGCTTTTGGTTGCATTCTGCATCTTTCCCACTCTCCATCAACGATTAAAGGTTTCTCCTTTCTCCAAGCTTGGAGCTTTTTGTAGTTTCAAGGTTGGTAGGATCATTTTTTGAAGGTTTTTGGTTTTTTCTAGAGATATTGTTGTTGTTGATGTGGATTAAAATGTTAAACCCTATAGATATCATTAAGTGAATATTGTATTTTCATTTTTTTTTGTATTTTTGTAACTTTGCTTAATGTGTATTATATATTTAATAAATGTTGTATATTTATTAACTATTGGTAGATGATATGTTATTGTAGGCGAATTTGATCTCATTTGTGAAAGTTGTGCTTTGAGTCTTTACAACAATATTGTCATTATTGTGATTCATCAGTGGAAGGACGAAATACAAATGTAAGTTTAAATTTATTTGTTGATAGTTATTGATAATGTTTTATTGATTTTATGTAGTGACGCTTGCGAACATGGATGAATTCATCCTATATTGTGGATATGAATGCCTTACTAGGAGATTGTCATCGTAGGCGAATCTCTATCACTCCATCCAAGTGGTGTTTGGACATGGTTAGATCATTAGACATATCTTTAAAACTGCTAGAGGAGATGGTATGCTAGTGGGTTGGGCACCATCAATCTTTTAGAGTTAGTCAACGGATGGTGCCGTTCAATGTTGTGGACGTATTCATGAGTTTAGGTTTAGGAGTGGGGGATTTAGACGTGCCTTATGATGAATCAGTAGTTGGTCTTGTAGGTGAAATGTTTAATGCCAAAACAACAACTTTGAAAGACTTCATAAATATGTTTAATGTGATTGTATAAAATGATGATATTGAGGTAGATGTTTGTCGTTTGTATATATTAGTATGTTTTGTTGTATTCTATTTTCCTAGGAAGTCTATGTTTGTTTCTAACATTCCTTGTACAATGTTGGACGACTTAGATAGTTTGTATCATTGCAATTGGGATACTACTATACAAAAATATATAGTATCTAGTTTAAATAGATGTACTAAGAAAATACTCTCGAGATTGATTGTTGAGTTTGTGAGTATCAGTGGCAATGTCGTTGTGTTGCAGGTAATATGAGTTATAATTGATTACGTTACTGGAATTGACTAAATTCATTATTTTTTAACTATTAGTGATATTGTAACTTTGGGCGTTTGAACGTCTTTCTTTCCGTGCTCGTTCTTCTGATGTTTCATTCCCCTACGTGGTACAATGGTCTTCCTTTAAGTTAATGTCGAAAAAAATTGAAGTGTTGTTTAACACAAAAGATGTAAGTGAGTGAACCTGTTTTCATGTTTTTTTTATAAATCTTATTTGAGCAAATATTTGTGTGTGATTGTTGTAAATATATTTCGATTAATACCTAAGTCAACGGGATCGTCGAAACCTATTGCGTAGTATTGTCAATATCCATATTGCATAGTTATGTTGGTGATCCTTCAACGACTATGGATGTCGATAAGTTGTATCGCACAGTCATTGGAAGAGAATTCAACGAAGGTAATGGATCGATTGTTGTTTTTTTGGCTTAATAGCTTATTTTTTCCCCAATTTCGCTAAAGTATGTCAAATTAGTCCATCCTTTAAAAAAACTATCAATTGAGTCTCCACTTGATAAAATTTTCCTCAATGACATCCCTTTTGTTAAATACGTACAAATGACGTTAAATTTTTTTCTCTCTCTTTTTCTTTTTTCTGTGCAACACAGATTTTTGTCAATACTTTCTCCTGGTGGTGAAGTCGAAGAAGTTGCAGTTCGATTTGGAGCAAGTGGGGGTGCAGTACATGGGCATCACATCCACTCCCCCATGCACAACCTCTCTTTCCCTCACCATTCGCCTCCTCTTCTCCGCCACCAACCCCAACAAGGTTGGCATCCGATACAACCAGTCCAACTTCATCATCATGTACTGTGGAACCCCCCTCGGGAAAGCCACCATCCCTAGGTTCTTCCGTTAGCCCCACAATCACCACCAGGTCATCACCACCATTGTCGTCGATCGCGTCAATCTCCTCCAGGTCGACGCCGTCGACTTGATCCGCGACGCCTCCCTCAACGACCGCGTGGACCTTCGTGTCTTGGGCGATGTCTCCACTAAGATTGACATCATGAAATCCAATTCCCCTAGCGTTCAGGTAACACACCCTGTCCTTTCTTCAATTTTCCTCTTTCCCAATTTAGGTTACCTCACATTTTCACTCTTAAACCCTCATTTTCTTTTCAAGTAAAATTGAGGGTTATTATGCTTCTTTCTCATCTCTACCATGGCAGAGATTGAGAGAGTCAGTGAAAATGTCATGTCGGATGTGGCCGCAACCGCCAATTCCACTACCCTCTATCCCACTCTACTTTTTCTTTACCTCTTCTTTCTCTGTTCATTAACTAATGAAATTACGATTCTAGTAATATTTCACTCTTAGATTGGTTTTAAATATTTAAAGAGACCTCTTTTGTATTGTACATATTAAAAGAAAATATTTGTTACATTTTTTGTTTCTAAATTGAAAATAACAAGACTTATTTCTTAAAATTATTTACTGATAATCCATGAAACCGAGTTCGGGGTATCACAATTTTTCTATCTTGCCCTTAATTATAGGTTTCTGTCGAGTGTCTTTTTTTCACATTCTTCTATGCATATATCTAAATAGCATGGCTAGACATTCCAATAACTCGATTTGTACAGTTTTTCTGTTTTGTGGGCATAACAATGGTGAAATCCTTAATTTTGAGAAATCTGATAATGTACTAACAAAATAATGACACAAAGCTGCGTTGCATAGAAAAACAGAAGAGAGAAAAAAAATTTAACGACGTTTATATGTATTTAACGGAAGGTTCTTGATTGAGGCAAATTTTACCAAATGGAGACACAATTGACACTTTTTTTAAAGGATGGACTAATTTGACATATTTGAGCGAAAGTGGGGACAAAATAAGCTATTAAGCCTTGTTTTTTATTCAACAAACATGTTGGTATTTGATTGAATATTATTGTTTTTTTAGGGTTGTATATGAAATATTTGGTCAAATCTTCAGCACAACTGAATGTTACTCTTTGTCTCCAATGAAATATGTAGACAACTTGGTAATTATGGACTCACATGACTTCAATTAATGATGATGGTGTTTAATGTACAAATTTGAGTGTCTTAATTGTAAATTTTGTAATTGTTTTGTAGGCGATACTTTTTGCTGCAACAATTTTCAGGTATTTTGAAAAAAGGTCGTCTAAAGTGGTAAAGAGGATTGTATTTAGTCCTTTATATGAAGTAAATATTTTTTTTATGATAGCATAGGATTGATGTTAGAACTTATGTATAAGGCATTGTTTTTTTATGATTTTTAAATTGATTGCAGAACCATATCCTCCACAATTATAGAAGTCGTTTAGTCAATCAACATTATGGAAACTTCATGATTACACTGCATATTTTCGTCCTGCTCAGATTGGACTAGAAGAGATAATGACAACTGACTTTGTGAGTAAGTTGTAATGTTGTAATGTGTAATGATGTTGGATTATTGTTTATTAATGTTTTGACATATGTATTTGTCTATAGGTGTTTCTCTGATTTGTAAATGTGGCGATTGGTGGTGCTATGTAGTGAAGGTTCATACATTAGAGTTATTTGTCATTGACTCACTAGGCA